AGCCAATTCCTATTAGCTTAAACTTTTAGGTGTCTTTGGCAACTCTTCAAAATGGAGCCAGGTTCAAACCCGACCTCATTTTTAGAAGAAAAACTGTTTGAGTGAAACTAGACCAAGATTGACCAGATTTTCTAAGGCGAAATTAGACTTTTAAATACATTTTATTTTGCCTCTCCCTTGACCCAAAATAAAACCAGTTTGATTTAAAACAATGTCAAGATTAGTCCTGACCCCATTTTGAAGTGGTTGCCCAAAACATCCATAATTAATTAGCTTCAAAGCCAAGTTTGTAGCCTAGGAAATAATAAAGGCCAATGTATTGGAGAATGACTAATGTGGGATTGTCCTCAGAAGGCTAGGATGAAATGTCGCTCCACTGCAGGTAATCCCTTTCTTATATATAAAGAGAAATTAGTGGAGTTCCAAAAAGCACAAGGCTAAGTTGCACTAAAACACCTTATATTTCACTCATTTAGCACTTATATACCCTAAGCTATATTTTAGAGTGTTTATATATCCTGAGTTGTTTAAAATTAACACTTTAGTACCCTCTGTTATGCAAACGTAAAACGTTTCACACAAAAGTTCCCATATATCATTTACATATTAATTTTAGAGTTGTTTAGTCATTACTATTTATTAAATGACTATTAATCCTACCCAAATTCTAATTTAAACATATTTTGATTCTATTTGAAAAATAAAATTTGGATAAATTAGTAGTAAGTTCAGCAAATTTATTAGTTAGAAAGTTATAAAATTAGCATACAAACGTTATAGAAGAACTTTTGGATGAAAATTTTCATATTTACATAACAAAGGTACTAAAGTGCTAATTTTAAGAAACTAAGCGTATATAAATGCCGTGACAAACAACTAATGGTATATACTAAATTAGTGAAACAAAAGGTATTTTAATGCTATTTAACCGAAGCACAAAATGTTAACATGTGTCATATTATAAAGACACGAAGTTAATATGCGCTATATCAAAAGGTAATATGTGGACATCTAATATTATATTCACCTAAGAATTCTCAATAAATTAAAAATATCCATAATTACAAAATTCTAATATTCAAATATTTTGTAATCCTTATACGGTTATAACTAGGGTTTTTTGTTTAAAAACGCAAAGTTTTACGTTGATTTATGTTTAAACCTATACTCTTTGAAACGAATGCTTAAACCCAAATGCTAAGTTTAATTTATGTTTAAACCCAAAATACAATATACCTAGGTTTATACATTGTATTGTACCAAAAATTACTAAAAAACCCTAACTACCATTCTTCTCCTCTAGCTAGATCCCCAAATCCATAGTGTTATAGGTTGCCTTAAATACCCAAATCCATATTGCTTTGGGTGTTCCTTTTAGATTGGTTTATTTTGATCAAGAATCCTACTTACATTAGACTTTGTACAACCAATCATATTAGAGGTTTATTTCTACTTAGACTCTTATTGGGTTTTAGGACATGTGGACTTCTATTTCTATTAAAACTCTTATTTCACAGACAGCAAGGAGTTAGGATCTTCAAGGATATATAAGAACAGTCTTTCAAGCCAATTAGATGCATCAATCTTCAGAGCACCAATCAAGAAGAGAGAATTCTTTTGTGAAGCCTATTTAATATTCTTCTCCTTTGTTCCTTTAGTTGAGAGTTGTATTAGGCTTTTGAGGTGTGATTTAGGATTGAGAGATTGAGAAATTCTACTCTGTATTCCTCACAATTAGTAAAGCTTTTCTCCTCCTTTGCCCGTAGACGTAGGCTACAAACCGAACCACGTATATCTTTGTGTTTGTGTGTTCTTGATATTTTTCTTGCTCTCGTGTGATTGATATTAGCTTATCCTAGGGAATTTATCATAATACATAGCAATTAAATTCAAAAATTGAATCCAAGTTTAACTCCGAGAATGACCGCTCCATGAAGGAGGAGATTCGCCCTGATAGCCTTTAGCACCTTCTAGGTGAAGGTCACGAAGTTCTCGCTATTGGCAATCGTCGGTGACCACCTCGCTCCTGTTGGAATTGATGTGACTAAAGATCTCCTATCCATTTCTCTATGGTGCTGTGAGATATGTACAAAAATCCATGGTATGGAGTCGAAGCTGATGAACCCCTCAAAGATCTCGCTATTGGCGATAATGATAGGGAGGAGGGTCAGAGGTGGGCGGGGGCTGAGGGAGAGGCGACGGCATGACAGGATAGGTGGTCGAAAGCAGGTTGATGGCTGCCTGTTGAGTGTGGGAGTGGGACCCAACGCTGGACAAGAGAAGGAGAAGGGTAGTTTAGGGTTTTAAGTTTTTTCTAGTAAAATAGAATATACATATATGGGTATATTATCTTTTGTGTTTTAACATAAATTAATCTGAGCAGATGGTCTAAGCATTCATTTAAAAGTTATTGAGTTTAAAAATAAATCAGAGTAAAACTCTAGGTTTGGAAACAAAAACGCTTATGACTATCCATAATTAAAAATCTCATAATTATGTATTTAAATATAGAAAATAAAGAAAAAAAACTCATTTTGACTATATTGTAGATAATACCTCTCAACTATAAAAATTAGAGATAAAGCTTATCTCCTCCTTTGCCCGTGGACGTAGGCTACAAACCGAACCACGTATATCTTTGTGTTTGTGTGTTCTTGATATTTTTCTTGCTCTCGTATGATTAATATTAGCTTATCCTGGGGAATTTATCATAATACATAGCAATTAAATTCAAAAATTGAATCCAAGTTTAACTCCCGAGAATGACCGCTCCATGAAGGAGGAGATTCGCCCTGATAGCCTTTAGCACCTTCTAGGCGAAGGTCACGAGGTTCTCGCTATTGGCAGTCGTCGGTGACCACCTCGCTCCTGTTGGAATTGATGTGACTAAAGACCTCCTATCCATTTCTCTATGGTGTTGTGAGATATGTACAAAAATCCATGGTATGGAGTCGAAGCTGATGAACCCCTCAAAGATCTCGCTATTGGAGATAATGATAGGGAGGAAGGTCAGAGGTGGGCGGGGGCTGAGGGAGTGGCGACGGCATGACAGGATAGGTGGTCGAAAGCAGGTTGATGGCTGCCTGTTGAGTGTGGGAGTGGGACCCAACGCTGGACAAGAGAAGGAGAATGGTAGTTTAGGGTTTTAAGTTTTTTCTAGTAAAATAGAATATACATATATGGGTATATTATCTTTTGTGTTTTAACATAAATTAATCTGAGCAGAGGGTCTAAGCATTCATTTAAAAGTTATTGAGTTTAAAAATAAATCAGAGTAAAACTCTAGGTTTGGAAACAAAAACGCTTATGACTATCCATAATTAAAAATCTCATAATTATGTATTTAAATATAGAAAATAAGTCTCAAAAAACCCCCTTAACTATTATAGTTTGAGAAACCACCTTAACTTTGAGCCTATTGTAGATATCATCCGTCAAGTCTAAAAGTTTGAGAAATCCCGATGAACTCTTCTCACTTTATGCACTGAAACCTAACATTATTAGGTCTAACATGTCCATGACAAGTAGATGACTGAGAAAAGGATAAAGTACCCTTTAATTATAAAAAAATACTCTAACTTTTTAGAGTAAGAGAAAGAGGGGGAGAAAGAGAACAAAATGCATTACAAATTAAAAATAGTTCTTTTTTTACCAATTGAGTTTTTCTTTGTAATTGAATGAGTTGATTTTCAAAAGAGTAATTTAGTTATTTTACATTTTGAAATGACATTACGAGGAATTGGTGAGAAGAATATGAAAGATTGCAGGTATTTTGTGAGACACCCCATAGTTGAAGGGTTTTCTGTAATTTTCAAAGTTGAGTTGGATTCTCTATAATATGCCCAATTTTTAGGGTGATTTCCTCTAATTAAAATTATTGGTAAAGATTTTTTAATATGTCCACCAATATTGAGGGTGTTCTTCTAAAAGTAACCCTATAATCATATATGCAAAATTACACCTGCTTAAAGTATATTTGAAAATTATGAATTAGTCTTCCTATAAGCCCCCATTTTTTCGTTTATATAATATATTTAATTGAAGGGTTTTCTATAAAATAAATATTTATTCCTATATTCGATATGATGAAATTCCCTAAATATAACTTTATTAGAATGAAATTTATGGATTAATCATAAATTAATCCTAAATTGGATCTAATAGTAAAGGAAATTTGCATATGTAATCTT